TTTTCTTATCCATTCCTCCTTTCTCGTGTATATAAATTTTCATTTTGTTTATAACCATCGTATTATTATTAATAAATAAGTACATCTGTCCAGTTGCTCGAAAATTTCCCATGGACGTAACAAGATATCGTTAATAATTCCGGGAATGAAATTTCTTTCGTACCTGCCAAACCACCAGCAGACCGACACGTGTGCGTGTATAATTCGCGAGCGTTAATAAAACCGGGTTTTTGCCTCGAAAGAATTACGAGCAGAAATTGTTCCGATTGAAATGGTGCGTTACAGGAATGAAGGCTCTGTCCGATGCTGGATACGAATAAAATGCAAACAGAAAACCCAGCAGGCCGTTTAATCGAGCCAGCGCGACCGTACGGGACGGGAAAAAGAAAAGGGAGAGAGGAACGAAGGAAGGAAAAACGAAGTGAAGTGAAAACGTAACTGATATCGTAGGTGGAAATAAAATGTGCTCGCACTTCGATTGATTCGTTTATTGAACAAACCGTCTATCCCAGACTCCCGGCTTGTCCAATTACTCGACGTGTCGCGTCGCGTCGTTCCATTCAATCCCGATACTCGATGTCTGCGCCCGGTTAACCTCGGTTACAATGATTCTTCTTCCCAAGCTTCAATTGCACTTTGTCCGATGTTTGAGGTAGATACGTACTCATGGGAAATCACGATTATTAATCAGTGTTAAACTGAATTATGTATGTTCTTTTAAGAGGAAACGTAAAGAGAAGTGGAAATTGAATTAACCAGGCATTGCATTATCTGAAATCAATTATTGAAAAGTGAGAAACGTTCGCTCTAGTTGAAATAATTAACCCGTTCGTCTATGTGTTAATAAAATAATTTCGCAGAACGTCTGTGCTCCTCAAAGGCGGTGAGTCAATGCACGAGAGAATTCGACTTATTTCCGGTGTGATACCTCTTAGAAAAGGTGCAAACCCGACAGAAGCATGGAAGCGTTTGACAATAAGAATGAAAATCTCTTGGAGGAAAGATTCCTTCGAATTTCTTGATGCAACTTGACTTTCTGATTTTCCACCGTTCCTTCATCCGTCCGTGGCTGCCCCCCTTTATTCAAACCCCCCAAGCTTCTCTGCCTTACCCCGCCGCGTCTCCTTCCAACCCCAGCAGCTGTCTCACCTTGCTGCTCGCAACACTTTTATATTATTCTTATGGAAGATGCGAGACGCAGACAGCGGCTCAGCTTGGATATTGCATTAGATCGTCTCTACGCTGGCTCCGGCGCTGACATACTCTACGTGTTCTCTACGTTCGCGTACACGTACATCGTCGTACAAAAGCGTGAATACGCTCACTGTATTATTATTCAACACGTACAACGAATTAGTGAATATACTGAATATATTATGTGCTAATTCGACTACCTATCTGGATCTTGAGATATTCCATCCAACACGCCATTGAGAATTTGCAAAAATGTACTGCAAATAAGCTGAACGCATTACGATTCTTAATACAGTATACATTTGCTAATTAAATTTAATTTGAATATCTCTCGTGACATTTAATTGTAATCTTGACAAACATATTACTGATTGATAATCACGCATCTAGACTTCTGGGCGACACTGTACAAACGTATATACACGTACACCGCATTATGTACACTGACACGTAACAAGCGTACGGGAAACGTGTCATGAATCAGTTGCGGCTTCGCGTTTCGGTTAGATGAAAAAGAGCGCACGGGGTAAAGGTTGCATTACTGTCAAGTCCGCGTAACACGATAATTGGATTTTCTGAATAATATCGTTCCCTCGTCGCGACGGCGAATATCGTTTATTCTTGCCCGAGTTTAGCTCTCCCCGCCTAACGTAATGCACTTGAAGGAGAATTTATATGACTCTGACTGATTTTATTATTGTATGAATTCAAGCATTCGATGATCCTTAAACGTTCTTAAAAATATGACTCATACAATTTGACGAGGTATTAAATAATAGGATGCAGAAATTGTTTGAATATTATAAAAAAATTCCAGCATTATTTCGATGTTTTAATTAGAAACAAATAGTTTATATCATCGTAACGACTAAATTCGCTTAAACACTTCTGGGGAATTTCCGATCTTAAATATTTAAGTGGAACCGTCTTTTCTAGTCCGACCGCTGAAGATGGATCTGGACGGGGTTGTGGGTCACGTGGTTCAGGGAACGAAGATCTTACTCCAGTGCATTGTGCGAGCGGCGAGACCTGCGGCGAACGTAACCTGGCAGAATGGCACCGACTATCTCGACGAGAACAACGAGAGGTTCGAAATGTTCGAGACTAAAGTGAAGGAGAACGTGAGTACTTTATTATAAATACTGCGAGACCGAGTCTCAGCTTTCAATTTAGAGAATTCACAGAATTAGAATCTGGTGATCATGATTAAATTCAAAATAGATGCGCTTTTTATTTAATTCCTTCATAACTAATTTCCAGGTCCTACAAAAATAATAATTATTAAAATAATCAACTCCAGGCACATTTGATATAAATTCTGCGATCTTAAAACCTACCAAAAATAATTTTATTTATTAAAAATTTCAATGAATTTTATGGATAATGAATATGGATTATGGATTATGGAAATTGATAAAATTTTCATTAGCAATCATGATTTTTACATTTTAAAGGAAATTAGAGCTGACAAAAAAAAATACGTGTCGATTATTTTCAGTTTCATCAAAATCTGTGAGGGATAGTTGGGTAGGTCTACTCGTCGGTTTCTTCGTTTCCTGATATTACATGAAACAAAATGAGTTTGGATAAAGTTGTTCAACGAGGGCACAGCTCAATTGCGCTTAAACAGTCCACGTCCATTGGTTATCCACGCGACGATACGATATTATCGCGCATGAAAATGCGATTTCACAGATGAATAAGGTGTTCCGCGCTTGCGGCATCGGAAAATCATTACGCGTCGTTTCACATAACCGTGACGCAACGCGTCGTAAGTAATAACACGTGCTCGAGGGGATACAACATAAGTACGTAAGACGGGTCGCCATCATAAATCCATTACGGTAACATCCAAAGTCGTTTAAACGTGAACGGGCCACGCAAGAAATTGGATCGCCTTATTTAACAAGTTTCTTATCAACTTTCTTTGTTCCGTTTTATCGTGAAATATGTTTGGAAATTGTTAAGCTCGCCGCTAAACTGATCCAAATTTTTTATCATAAAGTATAAAAAGCTACAGAACAGGTATGAGGAATCGAGTGAAATTAGAAATGCTACAGGGAAAAATATTTCCATAACCCTTTTATCTACGTGAACAGCTTTTGAGCGAAACTCGTATGCCAAAAATCGATACTCGCTACAAAGTCCTGAAGAGCTCAGAGAAAAATCGAAAATAAAAATCAATTTAGAATATTGAAAATATACTGGAAATATCAAATCACAAAAATGTGAAAGAATTGTCTTTTTCTGTAAAATGTCAGTTTAGAAAGCATATAATAAAAAGTCAATTGTTATACTTGTTTAATCATTTTTTATATACAGCAATCTTGTATCTTTCGTTCTTCTGCTCAATGCCTTCAGTTTCACAGGTGTAAAAACCAGTCCTCTATTTATTTAACAAAAATTGCCGTTGCCCCTATTCCTTTTTTCCTCCTTTATCTCTGCTATCCTCGTTGCAGTTAATCGGTTCAGGAAAACGGGAAATTTCTTTCCGGAGTTATTCAGCAAGAAGTTTCCCCCGAAGGAAATCCTCTTTAAGATATTTCTGGCGTTTAAAAAAAGAATAGCCGGAATTCAACTAAAAAGGGGGAACGTAAAACTCTTTTATAACAAGCGCTACGTAACAGCCACTTTCGCATTCTTGATCGTCGTTAAAAGTCGAAGGGGAGGGGGATAAGTTTTAATTAATTGTAGCTGGTAATTGAATTAAACTGTCTATATTTATCTGCGCTCTCCGCTTGAATAACAGCATTATCCATTTCGTTTTGACAATAATTGTATCAGCCTTTCAAATGGTTTTACTTTTCATCACCCTTTTTCAGATTGTAACGTTAGAAAGCCAATCAAATATTTCGATACCCACACTTTTTTTTTATTGAAAATAGTTATTTCATTCAAATTGTAAAAACTTCATCATTTTATTTTATTCATAAAACAAAGTAAAAGCTGTACTTATTTTGTAAATATATAAAATAAGGTAATTTATTTGAACGATAATTTAAATTATGATTAAAGTGCAAAATGATCGAGGTACGATCGACTAAGCAATAATTATCTACGTCAAAGAGAAATTCTCGAGCATCAACTACCATCGTATATAAATCGTCTTTTTTTTTCTTGTACCAATTTCTTGTTATTACGATTCCTTTTTGCAGCATGCCAAGTACACGCGTAAAAGCTTTTCCTCAGCAAATTGGAGAGTGTGTATATTGAAAGTCGCGCGTTCTAAAAGAGATTGTTTGTAGTACGGAACCTTTGAATTACACTGTCGTCTCAACGAGAGGAATTTAACAACCGCTTTGCGATCGATCTTAAATTTATTGAACCATTTCTTTTCGTAATGAAACTGTACGGATCGAATTTCAAATGCAGCTTTCTTTTTATTCTATTAAAAGGGTTTAAGGACAGCAATTTTTATTGTAGCTTTAGTGTTTCAATAAAACTGTGTTAAATAATTTACAAAATTGAAAGAAGAAATATTTATAATTCTTCTCTGTCTTCGTTGATTGAAATCTTCTTAATCTTTATTTGCTACAGTAAAAAAAAAAAACATATGTCCATTGGATATAAAAATTGCTGCGTTTCTATATCATTTTTTGTCGGTAAAATTATTTCTATCTCGTGACTGAAAAAGGATTCGAATTGAATGGTATCACAGCTTTGAAAAGCTGTCGAAGGAAGGAGGGCCATTTCAAAACTCCAATTCAATCGCTTTCATTTTCGATATTAAAGGGACTATTTTTTTTTTTCCTAAAAAGGAGAGTATTAATAAAAGATATTCCATGTTCGCCCCGTTACTTACCAACGTGAAAAAGAGAATTCATTTTTCAAGAGAATGTCGGAAAGATTCTGATCCATCTTGTATATTAAAGAAAACACATTCGAAAGTAGAAAACATACGTCAAGTTATGTTCAATCACATTTACTATTCAACAAGACTTCCATTAGGTCAAAATAAGCGGTGTTATTTTCAAATAATAATTGGACACTAAAGTAAATTTTCTCCCATGAGATTTCAAGTAGTCTAATTCTTTTGTCCAAGTCGTTCACTGATTCAAAAGGATTAGACAGTGATTGTGTAAGAATTGATTAACCCATTGTTCCTAATGAAGAATCTACTCTCCTCTCGAAAGTGAAAAGCTAGATAATTAAACAGATAATCTCATGACACAGAAAAGATCATAGACATTCATCTTTACTTATGTTTAGAAATACTTGAAATACCTAAGAACAAAATTATTAATTAACTCGTAAATTTTAAACGAAGGGCGAAATTCCATACTTTTATAAGAACGTCAGTTTTTTCTACCATTAACGATTCGTGTTGCTTATTTGCTCGCAGGAGGACGGGACGTCGGAAACGTCGAGCTATCTGGCTTTCACGGCGAGCGAGTACGACAACGGGAGGACGTTCAAGTGCTACGCCGAGAACTCGGTCACCCGCTCCGAAAACATGACGCCAATGGAGGAGTCGACGACGATCGAAGTTTTGTGTAAGTGAACCATAATTTTTAATGTACTATACTCTATATGGCAGTGTATAACAAGATGCGCAGGTTCCATCTTGGGTCCACTCTTTGTAGCGAACAGGTATATATAAAGTGCATCCCCAAACGAATTTTTTCTCCTACCCTTTTCCTTTAGTTCAAACAGGAATTAGGTCGACCATTTGCTAAATAAATATAAAATCTTATGAAAATGGAAAATATTTTATCAATAGTTCTATCTACGTTATGAAGGGGAAAAAAAACGAAAGAAAGAACAGTGAACGAGTTTTACTAAAGTTTTAGTCTCTTAATTTTTAAAAGAACGTCCAATAATGCTTTCACTGCATTAATCGTTTATTGTTTAATTAGATCCCAGTTTAATAGCGCGTGACCCATATTTTTTCAGTTAAACGTTTATCAAAATTTAATTTTTAATGGTGGATAGAGTGTAGAGCTATCGCTGATTTTATTATGAGGGTCGAATTTGATATTCCTCGTGCACTTGGAAATATTCGTTCAATAATGAAGAATCATTTTAACAGCAGTTATTATTATGATTTAACGTAATTATAAAATCATATTACAATAATCTTTAATAACTTTGGGTACCATAAGAGTGAAATATTAATAGAATAAATTAAAATTCTTTCTACATTCCATTGCATTTTATAACTGTTGATTAAAATTGAAAACAGCCGTTTATCTTTAATGTCTCAAAGTTAAATTAATCATCCCGTTCGTTTCGCAAGAGCGGCTATCTTTCAATCAATCTTTACACGAGATACGGTTTGCAAGATTCCTTTGGTAACAAAAGTCGGTGGTAGGGAGTGGACAAGACGAATAGCTGGGTGCGTCTGGTTGATGTTTCCAGTTAGGTCTTGCGAGCCGAAAGAGAAAGATGGAAAGATAGAGAGAAGGGGCAGCGGGATGAAAGTTTCGTCTCGTAGCCAACGGGAAAACTATCCACGGATTGGAAACGGGGAACGAGAAACTCGCGCGGAGGGTTGGCGCGCTTCCAACTTCCCTCTACTACCTTTCCCACGTCGGTACTACGGGAGAGCCACTCTCCTCGACCTCTGGGTACTTACCGTGCTCCTGTTTTATATGCCCAGGAATTTTGCGCCGCGTCGCGTTTAAACATATCTTCGGAACGCGGACCTTCCGCTTCCTGGAGCTTTCTCTATGCTTGTGAACGCCGCGTTATTTTAATACCAGACGTCTACCGCCTGTTTTCGCAACCGTGCGATTCCTCTTGCGTGCAAGTAATACCAGTTTCGCGGACGAAAAGATAATCCCATTTGTTTAATTAATTGTTTAATTAAAAGGACATCGTATAAATATGTCAATTATACTGTTCAAGTATTCTTTTATGAAAAATGAATTCTTTTCTTTTTTGGATCCCACAAAATTACAGTAATAGAAATGATGTCCGCTCAGTTAGTTGCTTACACTATTACATTTGCGGCAGCTTGTCGCAGTCGTTACAAACGTGACAGTAAATTCAGTTTCGCGGTTTTCCTCACGTTCGTCGCAGCCCATCGTTCAGTTTGGCACCGGCCCGCTGTTCCCTCCCACTCTCTATGACGTTGTATATTTTCCAGTTCTGTCTCTCTATTTTTTTTCGCTTGCACGGCACACGTGCCACGGCATAAAACCTTGGTGAAATAAGATCCTCTCGACGCCGCTGCTTTTTCATCTTTCTACCAGGAGTTTCCCGTGCCGCGTCGTCCGTGATTTTCGCGCGGAACGCTTCTAATTGAATTAACTCCGTGTTCTGATAAAAAAAAAAAAGAGCGCGGCGATACAAGTGAGGAAAATTACGCGCGTCGCAGCCTCGCGCGCGTATACGGTGTCACAGAAAGGGGTAATGAGTTTTACAAAAAAATTTCATCGCAAATAGCGTTACGCTGCTTTCGTTGAAATTTTGTTCAAGTCTCGAGTGAATTTTTCATAAGACTTATTTTAGGCACTGAATGAGATGTTTGTGAACGGTTGGAAATTGAAGTTGAAGTACGCGTTTTATTACACATTGCCTACTGTATTGACTCAGATGATTCTTCTTTCATTGTTCTTGTGAACTAATACGTCAAGTTATGTTCAATCACATTTACTATTCAACAAGACTTCCATTAGGTCAAAATAAGCGGTGTTATTTTCAAATAATAATTGGACACTAAAGTAAATTTTCTCCCATGAGATTTCAAGTAGTCTAATTCTTTTGTCCAAGTCGTTCACTGATTCAAAAGGATTAGACAGTGATTGTGTAAGAATTGATTAACCCATTGTTCCTAATGAAGAATCTACTCTCCTCTCGAAAGTGAAAAGCTAGATAATTAAACAGATAATCTCATGACACAGAAAAGATCATAGACATTCATCTTTACTTATGTTTAGAAATACTTGAAATACCTAAGAACAAAATTATTAATTAACTCGTAAATTTTAAACGAAGGGCGAAATTCCATACTTTTATAAGAACGTCAGTTTTTTCTACCATTAACGATTCGTGTTGCTTATTTGCTCGCAGGAGGACGGGACGTCGGAAACGTCGAGCTATCTGGCTTTCACGGCGAGCGAGTACGACAACGGGAGGACGTTCAAGTGCTACGCCGAGAACTCGGTCACCCGCTCCGAAAACATGACGCCAATGGAGGAGTCGACGACGATCGAAGTTTTGTGTAAGTGAACCATAATTTTTAATGTACTATACTCTATATGGCAGTGTATAACAAGATGCGCAGGTTCCATCTTGGGTCCACTCTTTGTAGCGAACAGGTAAAGTGCTTCCCCAAACGAATTTTTTCTCCTACCCTTTTCCTTTAGTTCAAACAGGAATTAGGTCGACCATTTGCTAAATAAATATAAAATCTTATGAAAATGGAAAATATTTTATCAATAGTTCTATCTACGNACCCCTTGGAAAAATCTCGGAAAAATAAAAAAAATTTTTTTTGTCAAAATATCGAAAAATATCGAACTGTGTTCTAAAAAACGTCAGGAATTCGAGACTTTGTAGACTTGTGTTTCCTCAAGTCAGTTGTTTCTTCCAACTTCGCGCATGCATACCAGAAAGTTTTCTTTGGGTTACTGCTGATTACCATAAGAGTACATGCAAATTTTAAGTCACTATAATTTTTCAAAAAACCCATGAATTGATTTAAAATTTTGCAGGTAGCTTTTTCATAG